ATAAGATTGAAAGTGATGATGAGAGTGCGAAATCTGAGGATGAACCTGACATTCACGAATCTTATCGTGAACTATTTGAGGAGAGTCTTAAGATTAAAAAGATCAATTAAGTTGTTTTAAAGAAGGTTAACGAACTTGAAAGAGAAAGAGAGAAACTCATAGGTGACCTTCAGGACTCTACCAAAAGACTGAATGAGTTGAAGCTTGTTAACGAAAATCTGGAAGCCAAAATTAAATCATTAACAAATTATCTTGAAAAATTCGGTACTCAACTCCAATCTTTCATGAGTGGCTCACAGAAGCTTGATAATCTGTTAGCGATGAATAAGCCTGCTGGAGAATGTTCTGTTATGAGTAAGTATGGTAGCAAAGCAAAGTGAACCAAATACTTTCATGTGAGCATATTCGGGTTTCTTATTAAAAAGAAGTTCATTTGGTGTTTTGTTATTGAGAGGGTGTGATGGGAGCCTATTAATGATATATGTGGCTGTGAGAATGGATTCATTCCAGTAAGTTAATGGAAGACCAGCTTGACAAAAAAGAGCACGGGACACATTTAATAAGTGTTGGTTCTTCTTCTCAACAATGTCATTTTGTTGAGGGGTTGCAAGACAACTTTTGTGATGAATAATGCATTTTTGATTGAAAAAATCACGCATGTTAAACTTAGCACCATTATCACTTCTCAGAATTTTAATTTTCATTTGGAATTGTGTTTCAACAAGATTGTAAAAAAGTTGTAATGCAATTTCTGGTTTCAGATTTTGCAGCAAATAAATAAATCTATGTAGTTCTAGAAAAGTCATCAACAATGGTCAAGAATTACTTTGAGCCATCATGAGCAATAGTGGAGCAAGGACCCCACAAGTCATAATGAATGAGCTAAAAAATTCTTGTTGAAGAATGTGTACTGTTAGGAAAAGATAAACGATGAAGCTTAGCTAATGGACAAATTTTGCAAGATTTTTCATTAATAGGTGAAATTCCTGTGCGTACAAGAGGATCTGAAATTAACTTTACCCTAGGAAATGATAAGTGACCTAGGCGACAATGCCATAGGTCAGTATGTAAGATAGAGTTGGTAAAAGAAGTAAAACAAGATAAAATGGTATTGCTGGTGGATGAGTGTGTTGAGATGAAGGTAGACAAAGCTAAGGGAAGGACTTCCTTGCAAAGGAAATGGTACAATCCATACTTGAGCTCACCTATCCCAAACGTTATCCATGAATGCAGGTCCTGAATAAAACAGTGAGTCGAAAAGAAAAACAAAGAACAATTAAGGGTAGATGTTAGTTTATTTGCTGAAATAAGGTTGAAGGAAAATGAAGGCACACAAAGGACATCATGCAGAATGATAGAATTTGTTAAGTAAATTGTTCCCATGTGTGTGATAGGGGCAGAAAGACCATTAGGTAGTTTCACAGAATAAAAAACAATAGATGTAATGGTAGAAAAAAAAGTGGTGATGCAGACCATATTGTCTATAGTGCCCGTGTCTAGTATCCAGGCAATAGATGATGAATGTGGTGAGCATTGTGTGTGAGTAGACAGAGAGGTGGAAGTACCAGACATTTTGGAAGAAGATGGAGGTAGGTTGCTGCGGTGAACATCTAAAGCCACAATTGAAGAATCCTGAGGTCTGAGCAATATCATTAGTTGCTGATATTGTTGCTTGGTTAAACCGATTTTGGCATCATTGTTGTCTTCAGGGTCAGAAGCAAATGGAAGAGATGCCTGATTTGCAAGAAAACCATATTGCTGTTGCGATTTGTTAATGGTATTTGTGGCCGGGTGGGTATCTATTGAGTTTGTAGCATTTCTCAATGGTATGGCCAGTCATGTTGCAATGTGAGCAAAGAGGAGGCTCAGCATTGCCAGCTTTAAAGCAGGTCTCGAAAGTGTGACCAGTGATTTTACAGTGGCGACAATAGGGACGGTCTTTCTTTTGAGGATGGTTTGATTTAGGTGTGATTTTAGAAGAGGTGTAAGGTTTTTGGATAGCCATAGCCATGGTCTTTGGTGAGGGAGTGTGAGAGGCTATTTGATAGTTCTTGCTATTGGACGAGGGAAAACACTTTGTGCCAGCTAATAGACAAGTGTAATGAAAGAATAACAAATACAAAATAACAGGTGGCTCTTTAGACTTGGCCTGTATTTGTTAACATACATCCATCACAGAAACTTTGAAAGCCTCGATTCATCCATAAAAAGAAATTTTAAATTCTCGTATGGCGATTCTAGGAATCCATCCTATAAAACGTCTCTGATTCTAAGCTTCTTTGGCAACCAACAAAGGAACGTTTTCAATCCATTGTCTTTTGATATTTGGGAACCCTTTGAGGACTTCCCTTTCTCAAGCTCGGTAGCCAATGTCCAAAGCTCTGGCCGCAAAACCTCTGCATTTTCCAATGCTTGCATAGGCTGGAAAGAGACTCCAGAAGCCCATGTTTTCAACGCTGATCTCCCCGGACTTAAGAAAGAAGAGGTTAAGGTGGAGGTTGAAGAAGGACGAGTGCTCCACATAAGTGGCGAGGGAGGAGCAACGAGAAAGAGGAAACGAATGACAAGTGGCCTCATTGGAGAGGAGTACTCACAAGTAAGTTCCTTCGCCATTTCAGGCTGCTGGAAAATGCCAAGACAGATCAGGTAAAGGCGAGCATAGAGAATGGTGTGCTTACTGTTACTGTGCCTAAGGAAGAA